CTCCCTACCATATGGAGTTGAAAACACTAAACAAATCATCACAAGTATACATTTAAACCACAACCATGATTTGTGCCGTGGAATGGATGATGATGCCGGCAATGACTGATGGGACATGGCCCACGAGGTCATTTCCCAACCTCAGTATTTTACAGACCTGGACTCCAAAGCACAAGTTAAGTGATATGTGACGGTCATAAGGACAGCAAGGAGCTACAGCTACTCTAGCATTAATTCCAGTGCCCTTTTGAATAACATGAAGCATAGTGGTTAAAAGCATGAGCTTTGAAATCAGATGAGTGAGTTTGAATCCCCATTTCATGTTTTATTTGCCTAATCTGAGTTGATTCTTCATCTACAGAATGGCAGTAACAACTATTCACAGAGCTGTTGTGAAGATACAACGAACTACTGGTGTATGTAAAGTGTATCACTACCTGGCACATAGCAAATAGTCAATAAAAGGTGGATATTTTTTTCCCATCTTAGATCTTATTCACTAGATAAGATGTTCTCTCTGGTTTTCTCTCCCCAGCACAGATCCTTCGGATGCCCAAATTAATTCTTTCCTACCTGCTTACTTACTACTTTTATCAATATGCAATGTTCAGAAGTCTTCTGTAAGCTCCAGATCTGTACACTGAAACTGCCTACCCAACATCTACCTGAAAAGAATCTCAGCCTTAACATGACACCTCATGATGATGATCCTGATACCTCCTCCCAACTTACCCCAAGGGGGATACCACTTTCCGAATCTCAGTTAACGGCAACTCCATTTTTATAGCTGTATAAGACAAAAGGTTTGAAGTCACTCTTGACTTAAATTCTCTCTCCCGAATATTCTCAGCACATCCTGTTTGCTCTATCTTTAAAATATATCCAGAATAGAAAAACTATCTCCACTGCTACCATCCTGGCCGGTGATGGTTATTTTATGTGTCAACTTGGCTGGGCAATGGTACTCAGATATTTGCTCAAACATTATTCAGGATGTTTCTGTGAAGGTGTTTTTGGGTGAGATTAACATTTAATTCAGTGGACTCTGAGTAAAGCAGAGTACTCTCCACAGTGTGGGCCACATCCAATTAGTTGAAGGCTTTAATAGGACAAAGACTGGTCTCTCCCAAGAAAGAGGGAATTCTGCCAGCAGAATGCCTTTGGACTCCCAGCTGTAACTCTTCCCTGAGACTCTAGCCTGCTGAACTACTCCATCAAATTTTGAACTCCTCAAGGATCCACACTGTAGGAGATGATTCCTTAAAAATAAATATTTACATATACACATCATGTCGGTTTTGTTTCTCTGTATAAATCTAATACATGGTCTAAATCATCATGTACTCTCATCCAGATGGCTCTAATAATCTTCTGGTTGGTTTTCTGCTCTCACTCTTGTGCTGGCTCTCACCCTGAAGTCTGTTCTCACCCAGTAGCCAGAGTGATCCTATTAAATCCAATTCAGATCTTATCAGTCCTGCACAGAACTTTTCAATGGTTTCCTTACCTTACTCAAGCAAAAACCCAAACTCTTCACAGTGACCTAAAAAGCTATACATGATTTTCCACCTCCCACCACCTTTCCTTGTCTTCTATTATCCTTTTCCCTTATCCACTCCTCACTATTACTTGAACAAACCAGGTATGGCCCAACCTCAGGGCCTTTGTACTTGCTATTCCCTCTGCCTAGAATATTCTTTTTCCACATATCCATATAGCTAGTTCTCTTAGTTTCTTTAATTCTTTACTCAAAAATCATCTCAGTGAGATCTTCTCTGTCACACTAAGTAAAACTTCTACCTCTTCACTCTTTTTGTCTTATCTTCTCTCTCTTCTCTGGGTTTCTTCTCCCTTAGTATTATTCATTCTCACAGACTGTATGTTTTACTTATTTGTTTCTTGTTTCTTATTTCCTCCCCAGAAATGTAAGCTCAATGAAGGAAGGGAATTTTATCTGCTTTGTTTGCTGCTTTAAAACAGTCGTTTTAGATTTTAGAACAAGCCTGGCACATTGTGAGTATTCAATATACACTGTTTTTTCCTTTTTTCAAGTTTTCATTTAAATTCCAGTTAGTTAACATACTCCATATACACTTAAGTGAAAGAAAAAAAAAACCTCAAAAGCTTTCAGTTGTACTCCACTGCCTTCGATTCTCTATCATAGGGCTCCTATTTCCTCTTTTTCTGATCTTACATCTGTTGTTTTGCTATTTATTCCGGCTCAACGACTCATCACTTTTAACTTGTAGCCTGAAGGTCTACACTGATATCTGAAATTCTCAGCTCAGTCAAGTATGCCAAGTTTTTCTTATTACCATTCTCCAGGACAGGCTGAATTCTTTATTCTCTTAGAACAAAAACTTCCTAAAGCTAATGATAGCAAGTGAAGAATGATACCAACTTACGTTCAGAAACAATTTTCCAGTCTTCTGAGTACCAAACTTAACTCCTATACACACTAAATACATCGAATACTAAGACTTATATAAATGATTTGTATTATTTATGGAGAGATTGCTTATTGCTCTTTTTCCATATCAAGTATGTGTTTGTTTTATAATAAACTGTAAAATGGAACAACCTATCTGATTAGTACGGTTAGTGGAATTAACAGTCTGATATCAAGTACTACTTGTATAGGATAGTGGAAATGAAGAAAAATGTATGTGTTATACTTAAAACACAGATCTTTAGATTTAAAAAAGTCACCAAAAAACCAGGTTTAGAATATATTATCTGATTAGAGCAATTGAAGGTAAATTAAAAAAAAAGACTGAAACAGTAAAAGTGATAGACATTACATGTATGTATTTTATAAGTTGGTTTTTTAGATGACACAAATGGAAAGATATTCCACGCTCATGGATTGGAAAAAACAAATACTGTTAAAATGTCCATACTATCCAAAGTAATCTACAATTTTAATGCAATCCCTATCAAAATACCAATAGCATTTTTTACAGAACTAGAACAAACAATTCTAAAACTTGTATAGAACCACAAAAGACCCCAAATAGCCAAAGCAATCTTGAAAAAGATGAACAAAACCGGAGGTATCACAATCCTAGATTTCAAGAGGTACTACAAAGCTGCAGTAATCAAAATGTATAGTACTGGCACAAAAAGAGACACACAGATCAATGGAACAGATAAAGAGCCCAGAAATAAACATACAATTGCATGGTCAAATAATCTTTGGCAAGGAGGCAAGAATATCCAATGGGAAAAAGGGAGTCTCTTCAACAAATGGTGTTGGGAAAAGTGGACACCTACATGCAAAAGAATAAAACTGGACCACATTCTTACACCATACACAAAAATAAACTCAAAATAGATTAAGAACCTAAATGTGAGACCTGAAACTATAAACTCCTAGAGGAGAGCACAGGCAGCAATTTCTCTGACCTCAACCACAGCAACACTTTTTTTTTTTTTTTCAACGTTTATTTATTTTTGGGACAGAGAGAGACAGAGCATGAACAGGCGAGAGGCAAAGAGAGAGGGAGACACAGAATCGGAAACAGGCTCCAGGCTCTGAGCCATCAGCCCAGAGCCTGATGCGGGGCTCGAACTCACGGACCGCGAGATCGTGACCTGGCTGAAGTCGGACGCTCAACCGACTGCGCCACCCAGGCGCCCCAGCAACACTTTTTTAGATATGTCTCCTGGGGCAAGGGAAACAAAGGCCAAAATAAACTACGGGGACTACACTAAAATAAAAAGCTTTGGCACAGCAAAGGAAACAATCGACAAAATTAAAGGATAACCTATTGAACAGAAGAAGACATCTGCAAATGACATAGCCAATAAAGGGTTAGTATTAATAATATATAAAAAACTGATATAACTCAACACCCAAAAAACAAATAGTCCAATTAAAAAATGGGCAGAAGACACAGACATTTCTCCAAGAAGATATAGACAGATGGCCAACAGATACATGAAAAGATGCTCAACATCACTCATCATCAGAGAAATGTAAATTAAAGCCACAATGAGGTATCACCTCACACCAGTCAGAAAGGCTAAAATCAACAAAACATGAAACAAGTGTTGGCAAAGATGTGGAGAAAAAGGAACCCTCGTGCACTATTGGTGGGAATGCAACTGGTGCAGCCACTGTGGAAAACAGTATGGAGGTTGCTCAAAAAATTAAAAACAGAACTACCATATGATCCAGTAATTCCACTACTGGGTATTTACCCAAAAAATTAAAAAACACTCATTTGAAAAAAAATGTATGCGTGCTTATGTTTATTGCACCACTATTTACAACAGCCAAATTATGGAAGCGTGTCCACTGATAGATGAATGGATAAAGAAGATGTGGTATCAATATGTACACGATGGAATATTACCCAGCCATAAAAAAGGAACAAAATCTTGCCATTCACAACAACATGGATGAATCTGGAGAGTATAATGCTAAGAGAATTAAGTCAGTCAGAGAAAGACAAATGCCATATTATTTCACTTATATGTAGGACATAAGAAACAAAACAAACAAAGAAAAAAACAGGCGAACCAAAAAACCCCCCAGACTCTTAACTATAGAGAACAAACGGATGGCTACCAGAGGGGAGGTGGGGAGGTGATGGGGATTAAAAATACACTTATCATGATAAGCAATGAATAACGTATATAATTGTTGAATCACATTGTATCACCTGAACCTGATATAATACCCTATGTTAATTATATGGGAATTAAAATAAAAGCTTTTTAATTGAGCCAAATTTTGATCACTAAAGTCAGTATTAGTTTGAATTGCATTAATACAATTAATAATTACTCTGTTCATTTATCTTACTATGATTTATTCATTTATTTATTCATGAAACATTATCACCTAGGAACCAGACATAAGAGCTATAAAAACATTTAAAACCTGGGCCTTCCTTGTGATAAGGAGATATATATATATATATATAAATTTAACGGAGTGCAATATATACTGTGATAAAGTGTAAACAAAGTTCAGAGAAAGTATAATTACTTACATTAAAAAGTTGTTTTTTAGCATATGTTCTAATCTGTCCTTGGTAAGAAAAGAGAAAAAAAATTATTAAATGCAATTATATTTATTATATGTAATTAATATACTTAAAGAGTAGATGGATTGGATTTTATCCACAAAACTAATTACCTTTTGACCAGGAGCTATGAATTTGTGACAGAGTTCAACATCTTCAGTACAGTTTGAAAGAACCATCATTGTTGCAGTCTTGAAGAGCCCCTCCATAACCTAAGAGAAATGACATAGAATTGCCTGACAAGTAGGCTACTTTATATGAAAACCTGTTTAGGGTGCGGACTGATCTCCAGGTTTTAGCGGCTATCAATCCATTAGGCTTCTTAATCCCTGAATGGACTATACCAAATTAGTTCAGTTTTCCAGATTGCTTTGGGGAGGCAGTGCAACTTCTTCCCAGAGTGGGTAAAAAAAAAAAAAAAAAAAAAAAAAAAAAAAAAAAAAAAAAGAAAGAAAACTGTATGACTCTTCTGTTCATAGTTTCAATACTTACTATTGAAGCGGGATGTTAAACGAACAGCCAAAACTGACATCTCTCTAAACTGCAATATACTCACTGTAGAATCAGGACAATGATGGTACCTAGCTCACAGGATTGTTACGATAATTAAATGAGATAATCCATGTGTAAGACTTAGCTTTAGTACCTGGTTCAGAGAAGCATACAACAAACATTAGTTGTTGTGAACAGTAAGACACTTTGAGAAGTGCTTCATTCAGTCACTGGTAAATGAAAGTTGACTTTAAAATTAGAGGAGCAATGAGATACACCTATATAGATTTTATATAGAGAGAGATAAATCTACGTAGATTTTTGCTTTGCTAAAGCATACAGTAAAAAGAACACAAATCATGATACAACACAAATCAGTATGTAAGAATTCATTCTACTAGGAGTATCCACAGACATCTCACAGAAGAAACTCTTGTTAGAAGAAAAAAAGTGGAATGGAAGATATTTCTAATCAAAACTAAAATTTTTGGTCTGAAGTCAGGGAGCTATTAGGCCCTCTAAATGTTGTATTCAGAAAGATACAGACATTCATTAAGTACAGGCTGCCTCAAAGTCAGGTATCTTCCCTTCCTCTCTTGCATTTCTGGTACACCCTATCATGGCACCCACAGGGTGGGGCACAAGCATCTACTGAATTAACTTAATATGACCAGATACAGGAACATACTTAATTACCAACGGACAACCAGATACATTTATTTTTTATATAGTGTGTGTGTGTGCATGCGCATATATATATATATATATATATATATATATATATACACACATATATATACATATATATATATTTTTTTTTTTGTAGAAGAGTAAGGAAAAACCTGATGAAAGAAGAACAAAAGGAAGCTAAAGATCTTTTCCCTTGAGCCTATATTACCTTCAATCTAACAGTGAGATAAAGAAATCACAAAGTAACTGAATTATTTATGAAGGGTCATATACCTCAATCACTAACAAAAGCTGGCACATATGGGGAACACACAAAAACAGGCTGATTGGATACCAAGCCTGTACTAGTGAGGGGTACAATACACCTATCTGTAAGATGAAGACTTTGACCACTGGGGTTGTTAAACTGGTGTGTTTCACATGAGCAGTAAATTTCCATTTGAAGAAGAAAATCATTGCCTTCTCTAACCTTGACTTTCAGACTATGCTCTATAAATATATTTGAAGAAAACAGAAACTTAACTGAACGGTTAGCATAACCTTCAGATGTTTTTAAAAATATATTACTCAATGGGTCAAAAATAGTAATATTTATTTGTTTATACCTCTTGAGGGGAAAATCCTTTGTTACTCTGATTTCATATTTTCATCAAGATAATAATTTCCACAGAATGTAATTTATAAAAGGGAGAAAATTAAGAGAAGCAGAAGATTAATTTTCAGGGACGCACATCTTTCTTCTGTCTTTAAGGAAAAGCTTGCATTTCAATTAATTAAAAATCATTCAACAGTGTGTGCTGAGTACCACTCAGTGGAATACCAAATAAGAATTATTTAGTTACAGACTATACAATTATAGAGCAAAGATTATCATGTTTAATACATTCTAATCTAACTTTTGTCTTTGGAACTTTTCTCTGATATCTATGTTTGGGCAGGAGAGACAGAGAGAGTCAAGGCAAAAACAGGGAGTAAAGGGTGTGGTCCCACTGCTTACAATACTCTCACTGTCTAAATCAAAGAGTAATACAGAATAGGGTGGTATGCTCAGACTGAAAGCTGCTTAAGGAATTTTAAGCCTCCTCGTGAGTCTCAGATCCTGAATCCCCACAACTTAGAAAAGAGCTACTTGACAGCATTACTGTTGCCATTTTTGGCCAGATAATTGTTTGTTGAGGGGGAGGGACCTGTGCATTTTAGCACGCTGAACAGCATCCCTAGCCTTTACCCACCAGATGCCAGTAGCAACCACTCACCCGTCTCTTCCATCCACTTCCTAGGAGAGACAACCAAAAACGTCCCCTGGGGAACACTGATCCGAGAACAATCAGTGGGAAATGTTAAAGGGGTAAGTGGATAATGTAGGATATGGTCAAAACACCCCTTTAGGACCAAGAGTTTTTTCTCCACTTGGAATATTAACTGCTGATGTCTCATGGTTGGATTCCTCTTCAGGAACTGGCCAGGCCAAGAGTGCTGTCTTACACAAGAGTATGTCTCTTCCAAGACTAATCCATGTCAGGTAACTGTTTGACAGGGAAAGAACAAAGGCCCACCACCCCCTTGTCTTCCTATGGGACAACTATGAACATTCCAGCTCCAAAGTTCCTCAAAGAATTAGCTAAGGCCTCTGTAAATGCATTGTAGTTCAACTTTTCCCTCTGCCCAATACAGCTTTCTTCCTTTCCTTACAGATATTGTTCTCCAGAGCATTCCCCAATAATCCCAACCCCCAAATCTGCTCTATAGTTTGTTTACTAGGAAATCCAACCAGGACCGGATAATAAAATAGTAAGTCCGTTCTATTTGATGATATATGTGGTATTTATGTTTTAAGTAGAATTGGGCCATTTACTGGGTAAGAGCAGAAAGATACAAAATGAATAGAAGTGAGAGTTGATGAAAGTTGAAACATTCTGAACTTACAAATCCAAACTAATATATTAGTGGTACTGGAGACACAATTCATAATAACAACAATCATTTCTGGGTACAAAGTGCCATGACCTATTATTATTCTATGTGCCTTATATATATTATCTGTGTAATCCTCTGAACTACCGCATAAAGTAGGAACTATTACTCTCATTTTACAGATGAGGAAACTGAGGCTCAGAGAATTAACTCCTTTGTCTAAGGTCACATAGCAAGTAAGTGGTGGAGCTAAACATTCCTGGTCCATCCAACTTCAGAGCTTATGTGCTCTATCTGGATTATGGCCACAGCCTCCTAAAAAAGCTCCCACCCCCATTTTTATCTCCCTCTAAATAATTAAATTGTTACGTAAGAGATGTTTCTAAACTATAATAGACAATGGCTTTTCCCAACTGAGAACTCTTTCTCCTTTAAGTCCAAACTAGTTAGTATGGCATTTACAAAGTCTTCCTTTCATGATCTGACTCTTAACTATCTCTCTGGCCGTACCTCTTGTCCCTCTTCTTCCCAAACAGAGCTCTGCTGGCTCCTGTACATGCTTTCCAATATAGCTATGGAGACATTTCTCTAACTATAAGGATGTTTTATTTATTTGCCTAACAAATAACAAGAGCTAGTATTTACTGAGCCTGCCATATGCCAGGCCCAATACTAGGTGCTTTACATTATACAAACATTATTGCATTTACTCCACCCCATAACCTTATGAAATAGTTACTATTATTCTCATTTTATAGTTGAGAAAGCTAAAGATCATCAAGGTTAGATAACATCAAAACAAAAGTAATGGCAGAGCTGGGATATGAGCTTAAATCTGTCTGACTCTTGTACTTTAAAGGCACTTAATGTTTATCAAATTTAGTTCTCCATCTTCTTCACTCCATGAACACCTATAATGCACAGATGTACACAGAAGCATTTCAATCTCACAGATATCTGTTATTCAGAAATTGTTTTAAAACTTGCAAACCTACCTGCATGAGATCTTGAAGACTCTCAACAAAAGAAATCTCTGCTTCTACCATATAAAACTCTGCCAGGTGTCTCCGGCTCTGAGAATTCTCTGCTCGGAATGTTGGACCAAAGGTAAACACTTGAGTAAAAGCTCTGCAATTCAAGATTAAAAGTATAAAAACAGGATTCATATTATTAATTTTAAGTATTTAAAACACTCAGTGTACTCTTAAGTATAAAAGGTTTTGTGCCTCTGTCTTGTCACAAATCCACCCATATTAGCTGCTATATTTCTCTAATGGGTGATAATAATAGTTTCATTAAAAATGTTACATTTATAGAAACCATTTTATCCCGAAGGAATTTGCAAATGCTTTACAAACCCTATGGCTTACTAAATATAGAATCAACCACTTCTGGGCGCACTCAACTGCAGCTGCCTTAAACAGCAGGCAACTACACTTCGCAGCAATCAAGAACAAAGTAAAGGAAAAATACCACAGCCCAACAAGCTTCACAGAGATTCTATATAGTCACAATTAAAACTAGAATTTCACATGGATAAGGTATGCTCATTTTTTTTTTTTAAGTGAAAAAAGAGTATCTGATATGTATGGTGATCTGTCTTGCTCAAATCCTCCTCAGGTCCTTCACAACCACCCAAGTGTTTCAATGATCGCTGAATGACCCCTGAAACTTGGGGGTGAGGACGGATTTTGAAGAACTGTCTACTTTATTCTCTGGTATTCAAGAATATAGCTCATAGCGCAACAATTCAAATAGTGGGGGAAAATCTTACTTTTCAATTCCTGCAGAAAACTGGACACTACACTTTCATTCTTTAACACTTAGAGTCTCCCTCATGTGGAATCAGGCCAACAACTGGGGTTAAATCAAACATATATGAAATACTGAGTATTTCCTGAGGACTATCTAATCTTTGAATTTTAAGATTTTGCTAGGACAAAACAAGAGACTTGGGGCTCCTCAGCTATTATCGTGAGTATTCATCATTTGACTGGCATTAGTCAAACAACACTAAGATCAGAAAACAGTGCAGAAAATAGATTATGGACACACACACACACACCCATTGGGCTTTTTTTTTTTTTAAGATACTCTAGGAAATAAAACAGTAAGACAATTATAATGGAAATCAAGATATTTATTTTTTCTTTCAAAAGGCTATTTTAGTTGAGGCCTAGTTGGTAAGAAGCTTAGGAATTTATGTTTTGGTTCTAGTCACCTTCCTGAAACCATAATCAGTTAACCTCCAAGAACCTTAGTTTTTAATGGAAAAATAAACAATAAGAACTCAAAAATATTACTATGGTAACCCCTCTGTTGAACTTCAGATCCAGACGTGCCTACTAGAATGTTCCTGAAAACACTGACCCTACCTTGTGCAAAATGAAAATCCTTGCCCTGCTCCCAGAGTAAACAAAAAACAAAGAACGATCCTTCCTCTCCTTTTTCACTTTCCACAATTCTATTAATCTCAGTTACTCCACCTCATCACCCAAACCAGCTCTCCCACTGCCCACATTTCCCATATCATATTGTTTACACCTAGGAAAACTCTCGCAAATCCAGAGACTCCCTGCCCTGCCCCTCCCTTTATTATTTATTTTATTTTATTTTATTTTATTTTATTTTATT